TATTGAAAAGTATGGTAAAATTACCGAATAATTTCGTATTTGTTTTTTTGTTTTTTTGTTTTTTTTAAAAAAATATAATTTTTTGTAAAATTTTATTTTATTTTTTATGCTAAATAAATAAAATAATAAATTTTAAGAAATTTCAATATTATATTTGCGCAAATCAAATGAATAACCATTCTTAAACTTGATATTTGCTAATTTAACTTCATAAAGTAATTCGAGTAAATATTCTTTGGAGGTTTCTTCAACGATGTTGGTCTTATCGAGAACAAATTTATGTTGCTTAAGAAATTCTTGATGTTCTTTGTCAAGAAGAGCATTTTGCTTATCGCTCAACTTGATTTGAATATATTCAGTTATTTGTCCTTCGTCATCAAGACACATTATCAGTCTTCGAAAATTTGTGTTTTCGTTCTCTCTGAACCATGTATGATCTACACGTTTTTTCTTTTTTTCTTTAATATTTTGAATTTCAGAATCACTTTGAGATATTTTAAAAAACAAATTATATAAGTAAAAATCTAATCGGTTTAAAACTGATTAGATATTAAATGTCTTGACACTAATTTTAAGTCGGTTGTAAATTTGATTTTGAAAATTGATATTTAACAAACTCTTCAGATAATAAATAAATTTTCTTTCCATCAAGCTCTCTATACAAAAAACTTTCTCTGTTTCTATGAAGATCATAAATTAAATTAAACTCATCTTCAATTATACAAATTTGGTCAGAATTTACATTTTGAATAAAATTACTTGGATAAAAATAATAATATATAAAAGTTTTTAAATAATTTTCATAAATTGGTTTAGGAATTAATATTTTAAAACAAATATAATCAAATTTTTGAAAATAATTATTCAGATTTTTCCAAATTATTTCAGTAATAATCCAATTTTAACATAGTGTTGAAATTTGATCAAATTTTAATTCATTACAATCTTCGTTTTTGTTATTAATCTCTAATTTATAATTGTTATGATTAATTTGCTTTAAAGATATGTTTAATAAAATATTTTCATGAGATTATAAAACATTTTAGTAACTAATGATAAAGTTTTAACTTCTTCAAAATTTGTAAATTTATAATGATTTAGTATATTAAGAATTATTTCCGCAGAAAACATTTTAATTTATATTATAAAAAATCCAATCGGTTAACAACTGATTAGATACAATTAATAACAATTTTTCAGGTTCTAGCTTGAAAAATTGTGATGACCCTCTTTATTTTATCCCTGAACGATGCTCTGCACTTTTTTGTTTTTCAGAGAAGAACTAAGTTTTATTTTTTCATCAGTTGTTTCTTCAACATAACAAATGTCTCGATTTGATGATAAACAATTCCAACATGTTGGAATTGTTTCTAATCAAGATCTCATTTTTGTCATATCTCAGAAACAAATTTAGTTTGATTTAATTTCATTAATATTTATTAAATAAAAAAAAAAAATACAACATTAAACTATTTGCATTTTTTTGTTTCTTTCCACAGATTATTTTTTTTAATAATAGGTAATTTTGTTTTCATAAATATATTATATGGAGATAATTTTTTACTCTCGTTTATTTTAATAGCAGCACCTTGTTTAGCTAATTTGTTAGCTAATTCATTTCCGGTTACGCCTCTATGTCCGAAAACATGTATAAAATATACCTGCGCTGGTCTTTTGGTTAGTAAAAAATTGATCTTCTCAAACAAATCTTTGTTTTTAACATCCTGATTTTTAACTATTTTTTATCCATTTTTTTTTCCATTTATGAATCCATATTTCGAGAGAATTAACAACAAAATGACTATCTGATTTAATCTCAATTACTATAAGTTGATCATCACATGTTTCTAATGCGTGAATTACTGCATATAATTCTGCACGATTATTAGTTT